CAACCCTCTTATAAGAAAATCACAATGTACCAAGTGAGTAATGGTTTGTGCATTGCCATTTGTAAAATAGAAAGCAAAATTCACTGTTCAAATTGCCATTGATAATGGATACATCTCAACATTATTTGCATATCTGAGTAAAACAAACATTCAACAAAATGGGATTAAAAAGGTCATTTAAGCCACTTCTCCATAATCTGGTACTCTGCTTCACTGAGGTGCATTTTCCATTATTCTAAACAGCATGATTATTGGTCATGCTGACTGGGAGATGGGGTTTGTAAATCCAGTATTGCGCAAAACATAAAACTGAAAAAGGCTAGTCTAGGAAAAATGAATTAGAGTTCCAAATCTGTAAGAAGGGAAAGAATAAAATAAACATCTGAGAAAGAACAGTAAGGGAGCAATGCTATTATCAGACAGGCATTATATGTGATCCTAGAACTACTGTAAACAGAGATTTGAATTTAGCTAATCTCTTTAGTCTCAGTCTAATTCATTGTCATCTAATGGCTTTTGCCACAGCAAGTATACTTTACAGCAGTTTCCCCCAACTATTCCTTCCTAAAATGATGGGACCACAAATCCTACCATTCTCAGCCAATAAAGCAGAAGCTGACTGGGAATTCTGGGAAGTGTAGTTTCAACACATCTGGAAGACATATGTTGGTGAAAGCAGCTTTGTTTCTTCCCCTCCTTTATGATATGGATTCCAATAATAAAAAAGGGCTTTTCCTTTCCATAAATACAGTGCCAGATTTTGCTGGAAGGAGAATCTAAACAAAACAAGAGGCGCCTGTGGGTTCTAGGTTGGCAGTGTCATTTTTTTCTTCTTCTGATGCAAATCTCTTGCTTCTGCTTTTAATTAAGTGATGTTACATAAAAGGAAATATTTTCCCCCTTGCTTATAGTTTATTACATCTCTACCATGTAAAAATAGTATTTTAAAATCCTAGTAAGAAATCATTGGGAAAGTTATTATTATTATTCCTTTGGCTTAAAGTCCAGGACACTCTTCCATTCCTCTACACTGGCTCTCTCGATTCATTTTACAAGAAGCTTTAGTATTGATAGCAGTTATGAGGTATTTCCAATACTCAAAATGCATATTGAAAGGTGTTAATGCACCAAGTGATTCCCAAAAAGATAGATTGAGATCTCTGAGCCATTTAGGCACAATATGTGCATGCATCCACTTACTGCCTTTCACCAATGAAGAGAAAACCAGGCTGTAGTTTGAATCATGCTGATGGTTGCAGGCTTCCACAAGAATGCATTTAAACAATGGTCAGAGTTACCCATAATTGCAGAATTTGGGAGATTTGTTTCTTTTTAATGCATATGCTCTCTGTCTCTCTGACGTATTGAATGGTTCTCTGCTAAGACCTCTGTGGTTTTAAAGACCATTCCTTAATAAGCTGCTGTCCGTAATAATCAGTTTGCTCTTGCCAGGCTGCATACTCAGCCGCTGTAACTGGACCACAAGCTCTTAAGTTTAAAACTACAAGGTTACTCTAAATGTCTCAGTGTATAAATGAGTAATTTGTCTGATTGGAAATACAGCACACCATGGTCAAGAAGGACTGAAGATCACTTCAAATGGTCTACTGAGTATTTGGAATACTAGCTCCTAGTTAGTTGACTGACTGTTCACCAACCAGGATGTTTATTGATTTTCCCTTGAAAACATATCGCATTTTCATTATTCCATGTATTTAAAAATGACATAATTCCAATGAAATTAAAAAGAGAAACGATTTTTGTTGTTCAAAAACAAAATGTAAAAGGAGATATCCATGCCTCCTTTTGATTTTATCAATCCAATTTATCAATCAAAACATGTTAGAAATAAAACCAGGAAACCAGAAAAAAAGATTTGAGTAGTTCTCAGCTTATACATCTTCAGCATCATTAACTATCCCTTGACTATTCTTGTTAACTACTTGTCAACAAATTGCCAACGTGTTCTGGATCATGGAGAAAGCTATGGAATTCCAAAAAACATCTACTTCTGCTTCATTGGCTATGCTAAAGCCTTTGATTGTGTGGATCACAACAAATTGTGCCAAGTTCTTAAAGAGATGGGAGTACCAGACCATCCTATTTTTCTCTTCAGAAACCTATACGCGGGTCAAGAAGCAATAGTGAGAATTGGACATGGAACCACTGATTGGTTCAAAATTGGGAAAGAAGTCCGGCAAGGCTGTATACTGTCACCATGACTATTTAATTTATATGCAGAGCACATCATGAGAAAGGCAGGGCTAGAGGAATCAAAAGTTGGAATTAAGATTGCTGACAGAAATATCAACAACCTCAGATATGTAGATGATACCACTCTAATGGCATAAAGTGGAGAGGAACTAAAAAGCCTCTTGATGCGAGTGAAGAAGGAGAATGCAAAAGTTGGCTTGAAACTCAACATTAAGAAAACTAAGATCATGGCATCCAGCTCTCTCAATTCCTGGCTAATAGCTGGGGAAGAAATGGAGGTAGTGACAGATTTTATTTTCTTGGGCTCCAAGATCACTGCAGATAGGGACTGCAGCCAAGAAATTAAAAGACACTTCTTCCTGGGGAGGAAAGCTGTGGGAAATCTAGACAGCATACTAAAAAGCAGAGACATCACTTGACAACAAAAGTGCATATCATCAAGGCTATGGTTTTCCCAGTTGCAATGTATGGCTGTGAAAGTTGGACCATAAGAAAAGCCAAGTGCCAAAGAATTGAGGCCTTTAAACTATGGTGCTGGAGAAAATTCCTGTGAATCCCTTGGATCGCAAGATGATCAAACCAGTGAGTCCTAGAAGACATCAACCCTGACTGCTTTTTAGAAGACCAGATCCTGAAGATGAAACTCAAATACTTTGGCCACATAATGAGAAGGAAGGACTTACTGGAGAAGAACCTATGTAATGCTGGGAAACATTGAGGGCAAAAGAAGAATGAGAAGACAGAGAATGAGGTGGATGGATGGAATCACCAAAGCAGTAGAAATGAGCTTAAATGCACTCCAGAGGATGGTAGAGGACAGGAAGGCCTGGAGGAACATTGTCCATGATGGGTTGGACATGACTTTGCAACTAACAACAAAAATCCTTGTCAATGGACATGTTGTCAACCATGAAGTAGACTTGGCTAAGGCCACCTTGGAGGCTTTACGGTTGCCACACAACAGAGGACAGGCGGGGGAGGGGGGATAGTTAGATGGGGTTTTGTACCCAAAACAATAAAGCTTTCCTGTGGTAACCAGGGATGTTCGCATAGGTGGCTGACCAGAGGAGTAGTGAAGTAACCAAGCAACCAGCCAGCAACTGGATTGGACAGCGTGACTAGTAACTTGGGGGAAAGGGGAAACTTTTACTTTTTAATTAGAAGAAAGCTGTGGGAACTTTAGAGTCGACTTTTACCAGTTGTGCCAATATGAGTTTCCAATAAACTGTTCTTTAAGGAACTTGCCTGCCTCAGAGTACTTCTTTCTAATGGGAACATTATTTGGAACAATGACACATACAAAAAAAAATTAGGATAGCCCCAGTTTTTAGCTATAATTATTTAATTGCAAAGAAAAAATTATAGATTTCCCACATATTACAAGAATGTCCAGTTGCCTTTTGGAAAAAGCACCTTTGGAACAACCATGACCTGGATAACAATCTCCATAGACATCCCCCATATTATAGTTGGTCGAATTTTAAAATATAACCTGAAGGTGATTCCCCCCCCCCCCAAGCAACTTATTTGACTCGTACATTAATGTGTTTAAGCATCAGTGCTGTCACAGCATCTCTTGAAATAGCTCTCTACTAAGCTTGCATTTCATAAACAGAGCATTAATTGTATTTTCCAAAACCAACTAATATCTCTTGCAGACCGAATCATTTTACAAAATGCAAAATTAAATATCTTCACTACAACTCTAAAGATACTAAAATAATTCCAGCATATTCCAGGAATATTTAACATGGAAGCTGTGTAATTTGGATTAATAGCATGGAAACACTGATCTATTTTTTTTAACAAATTCAAATTCTAGCTTTTCTATAATATGTGCAGAACTTTTAATCTTCAGAAGTCTAACACATGATTTTGTAAGCTTATGCTAAGTAACTTTGAAGATCAATGGAAAAGCTGCAGCAAAGCTTTCAAGTTGCCACTACTTTCTAACTCCCTTTCACCTTTGGATGCTGGCTGAATAAATTGTCTGCCAAAGGATTTCATCTCCTTGCCTGCTTCGATTTCAGTAATCCAAAAAGGCATAGAGCTGAAAACTTCCAGCAGGCAGCTCTTTAAGACAGTTGCCAGAGGTGATGGAGAGCCAAAATCCAAGCAGAATGTTCAGCTCCTGAGCAGAGAGGTAGGGTGATTATGGTGCCTCAAGGTGGGTGGGTGGAGAAGGCACTGAAGGCCTGGCACAGCCCATGCAAGTATCTCTCTACTCAGGAGCTGAAAATCCTGGATTTTGGCAGGGAAGATTTTCAGCTTTTGAGTGGAGAGACATTCCCATTAGGTCTCCTAGAGTTTCCCCCCTCCTGAGACACCCCATATTTCTCATCTGGGACACTGTCCATTTAACCACCCACAAGACTGCTTAACAATTGAAATAGGGAGTGCCAGGATTGCAGTCTCAACTGAAGCAGTCACATGATATCTTGCTTAATGACTGCTTTGCTCTATGACCAAGATTCCAGTCCCATTTGTGATTGTATGTCAAGGACCACTTGCATAGTGATATAAAACCTGTCCTCATTACTATTACTACTATTACTTGGATGATTTTAAAAGACACCACAAGCAATTAGTATGGAAATCAGAATTACTAAAACAGTTAAAGCGGCAATCCTAGTCATGTAATTCTTTACTGCTCACAAGGATAAACGATAAAAATGACAATGAAGGCAAAACAGAAATGAAAACAATAGGGCAGATGAGAATATTTTATATATCTATTCAAAACCAGATTCCACATTACAACCTAAGTTTTTATATTATCCACTCACTTTTGGAGGAATTCTTCTACACCACATATTTTGAGAACAAAATCATCCACATCAATGTCGCACAATTCATCGTGAGTGTAACACAAGGTCTGGTAAATGAGTAAGTCTACTGTGGAGGAACCTACAAGGAGGGGCAAGAGGGAGGAAAGGAAAGAGTGGTCAGCATTGATTTCCAAGGCAAAAGATCAATGGAATTCTTCATACCTATCAAGCGTAGTTATTCCAGTAGATTCATTTCTTTAGACATCAATGAATGATTCATGCCATTTTAATTACAGGAATGCAAGCTGATGCCAATAAAACATATAAAAAGATAAAGTAATTTGTCCATGATCCAGCCATGGTTATTTATCCATGGTTCTTGACAATATTATGGAAATAATTTCCTGTTGTTGTTCTTCTAACCAACAGCTTGGAATTTCCAGGTGGCTCTCAATCCAAATGCTTATCAGGACTAACTCGGCTTAATTGTTTAGATCAACCAAGATCACTAGATGCTACAATTTACCAAGGCAACAAAGCATCTATTCCTTCCAACTGATGTAGTATCCAACTAAAGATACTACCTACATTTATTTTATATTCTTTTCAGTGGAGTCATGAATGCAGTCAAAAGACCACAGTATCCAAGTAATAACAATAAAAATCATAAATTCTAAAAAGTAGAATAACAACAAATAATTCGATGCAGTTTTCTGTAGAGATAGTTATTCTAGAATGTTTCAGATATTCCGGACTTTAGTTCCCATTTTTTGTGGTATTTACAGAAGTTATAATCATAGATACCCATGGTGTGGGCAACAGGAAATAAGTGATGAATGGTTATAATTCATTACATCTAAATAGCAGCAGCCTGGAAGAATCTGGCATAAATCTTCAAAGTATAAATTGGGATCTACAAAAGGTTCCAGACTTAAAAAAAAAACACCCAGATTTCAGCAGTTAGATGACATTATTTTTCCTAAAAACAATAAAGGAAAAGAGGAAGAGGGTTAATTTGATGAGACAAGAAATACTGAATAGTCAAATCTGTCCAATTTATAAGCATTTATATGTATTCCAAATTAGTTTAAATTTGACACTTCTTATCTGAAAGCTGGAAATGTTAGTTTGACATGGGTCCTAACAATACTTTCCCGCTGGGGAAAAAAACAGTGTTCCCAGAAGATAAGGCATGAATCATAAACTAACATGTCTGCAGGATAAAAATATCCTGAGAAATTTAGAAAGAAAATAAAACACATTTACATTATGAAATGGAAATGGAGCCCATTGCATCAGATGATTTCAGTTCATATTCTTGCCTTTAAAAGATGAAAATTATTGCCCTTGAAAAGTCTGAAATATATGGATCACCCCCCAAAAAAAAAAAGAACAAGTAGAAAAAAGGATCACTCCATTAAAATTCACTTTATTGGAAAACATGGTTCTTCACATTCAGAGAATGGCTAATTAATGTATTGAGTTAAAAGGGGGGAAAGTATTAGTGTAGGACTAAATTAGAGATTCATCCAAATACATATCCCAATTAAAAAAATGTGTTCAAATGAACTATATGTGCAAGAATCAGAGTAAGTGTCTCTCCATATAGCCCTATAATGCCATCAGGCCAAAAACTCCAAATGAATGAATTAAGAAAGCCAAGTAATAACTTATAAAACATTAGATAGATTTTGGATTATTCAAAAGGAAAATATCTATTATAAAATTCTATCCTCAGCAATTCCAAATTAAATACTGTAATAGTATAATCGATAAGTGAAGTATATTTTAATGTGCAGAGATTTTGTAATTAGCAAAAACAATCTGATTTTTTTTTTAGTTTAACCAGATCAATCCAAAGTAACTGTATAAGTCTTGGCTTCATTAAATCAAAGAATGATATAAGTAGATAAATACAAATCTGTTGAAGCACAGTCAAGGCTATGATCACTACTGGCACAGAATGAAGAAAATTCCTAGGAGAAGCCAAAAACTTACAGTCACAAGTGAATGTGAGAGGTTCTTGTAGGCTATCATAAACTACGGTCACCTTCAAGCTAATCCCATGGCCAAGATGTTCAGGGCCGAGATTGACAGTGCTCCAGACATAACCTGTGAGGGAGTAATCCTTGGTACTATAGCCAGATCTCAATCTGTGGACAAGACAAAATGGGTATAATTAGTATATGCATTACTATAATTACTATAATTATATGTCATGCTGATAGGCTTTTGTGTTTTTTTTCTTCTCTTCATTTTAAGATTTAATTTTCTCATTTGTTCCACATTTTTAATGATGTTAAAACTTTGCTAAATTGGTTTTCACATTCGTTCATTTTTATCTTTTCTAAGATACTATATTTGTGTTAATACCCACTCTGAGATTCCAATCTAAATGCACCATACATTTCGAATGCACCATGGAATCACATGAATGCCTGGAAATGGGTTAGTCCTTAAACAGTGAAATTATGGTTTGACTCAAAGTATTGAGACAATATTACTATTTGAGGATCCGCAGACAGCACCGCCACTGGTGAGTGCTAATGTAGACTCTGTTGGTGCTAATCTAGACTAGGTGTTAGTTTTAAACATGCTGGAAAAGGATGAGAAAAACCATGGAGAGAGAGAAATGGTTACATTTTGCAAATGGATAGCAAAACAGAAACATTTTCATGCAGGTGGAACAAGTGTCTATTGGCTTGACTTCCTTCTGAAAACAGTGTTTCCTATAGATTAAAACCACAAAATGAAGCTGCACTGGATTGAACTATTATGATAACTCACTGTGACACTCTTTAGTTCCCTGATTTAAAAAGGATAGAGAAATGCCTTCTCTCCTCTATCAGTCCTAGATAACTGTGGTAGGAATCACAATCTTTCCTAGGTTCATCCTATCACTTGCAGGTTAAGACACTGCTCAATGAAGATGTCACTTAAACACAATGCAACATAATCTTTAGACCAAGAGCATTTTTTTTCCTGAGCATCAAGAATTAAGCAATAAATTGGTCCACATGGTTAGGCCATTGGTTACATGAACAAAGAAAATCACACACAAACACAATTTGCAGAAGAAATTTTAGGCAGAGGAAAGCCAAGGAAAGGCACTCTGAGGGATTATTTCTTATCCTAGACTGGTACTCACACATTAAGCATATGGCAGAATGCAGCAACCTCTTCATCTTTCTCCTCAGACACCTCAAATAGTTCATAACCGTTGGACACGGGATAATGCTGAGAAGTGCCCTGATACCAAACGTGGATAGGCAGTGGGGAGAAATAAATGAAATAAATGAAGCATCAATGAATTAACATTTTGAATATATTCCTCATTTATTTTATAAAGCAGTTAAAGATATACTAAGGAATGTGGTGGGAACAACTCTTGACTTCATTTTATATATAACATAAATACAGTTATTTCCCTCTAAGTTATCAAAGGTCTTATTAACCTATAAATGTTTTTGCCATTTTTTTTCCTGGCTTAGAGATTGTGAGGACCAAAGAACTACTATGCCCAATGTCTAGTCAGTATATGACTTGACTTTAGGCTTTATTATTTATTTATTTATTTTTATCCAGCCTTTATTATTTTTATAAATAGCTAAAAGCAGCAAACATACTTAGTACTCTTTCCTCATCCTATTTTCCCCACAACAATAACCATGTGAGTGGATTGGGAGAGTGACTGGCCCAAAGTCACTCAGCCAAACTTACTGTAGTTTTTGGAATATAAGACGCATCGGAGTATAAGACGCACCAAGATTTTGAAGAGGCAATTTTTTTAAAAAAGCTTTTGCGCTCTGCAGATCTCTCAAAAATGGCCCATTTTTCGTGAAAACGGGCCCATTTTTCCTCAAAAAATGGGCATGTATAGCCTTTAGAAGGCTTGTTGAGTGCTCCTGGGGGGAAGGCAAAATTGAACAAAAAATGGCCTGTTTTTTGCTCATTTCTGCCTTCCCCAGCAGCACTCTGGAAGCCTCCTAAACGCTATGCACGGCCATTTTGGTGAAGGGGCAGGGTTTGGAGAGGCAAAAAATGCTGTATTCTGTGTATAAGACGCATCCAGATTTTCAGCCTCTTGTTTGAAGGAAAAGGGTGTGTCTTATACTCTAAGAAATATGGTATATATCTGTAGCAAAACTGAAGATGTAGAAGGCTTACATTTGTAATGAATTGTAAGTGCACTGTTTTGCATTTTTCAATAATGACTATTACAGAAATAAGATTTTACTATTTACTCCACGTGGTATAAGGCTTTACATTTCAGCTCAAAATTATCTTTCAGATAGGCTGGTTGAGAATTGTTCTGTTCTTGGGTCCGTAATTATTTCTGAATCAATATATCACAATTATTTTTATAGATTAAATAAAGATTGCACATGATATCCATCATAGGTAATTTATAGCCTTGCATTTTCAGACTCCTGCTGGATACCCTATTTTCCTGAAAATAAGACCTACCTGGATAATAAGCCCAATCGGGCTTTTGAGCGCATGCACTAAAATAAGCCCTCCCCAAAAATATTGCAACACAGCATCAGCCATGAGGTGATCACGTTCGCCACCTCCTGCACCTCAAAAATAATACAACCTCCCACAAAAGAAGGCCAAGTGCTTATTTCGGGGGTCAAAAGAAAAAATAAGACCCTGTCTTATTTTTGGGGAAACATGGTTTGTAAGTGGTGGGACAGAGCATACTATATAACTTTTAAATTAAAAAAATAAACCCTTCCCAAACCACATAATACTGTAACTAAAAGCCCAGCCAAGTAGAAAAATGGTTAAAGCAGGATTCTCAAAATGTTTCATTTTGTTCCTCTTTCCCAAATGTCACAGTTGGATGAGACAGAAGTAGAGATAGAAACATTTTGAATGCCAAGCTCAACCAAATGGAGTGCACACATGGGCCCAATGCTTCCATTCACTTCTTCAAAGCAAACAAAAGACCTACTGTCAGAGCAATTAACCCATTAAATAGACAGAGAAATGTGGGGAGGTGGGCACAGAATGCAACAGACACTCACTTAAACAGTCTTAATGTTCTACTGCAATTACTTTCTGGCACATCAAAATTAGAGAATTACTTACATGATCTTTGAAAGCTTCTGCCATTTTTAGATGCACAGAAAGTCAATCCCCAAAGGCTCAGAGAAGTTGTTTGTATTTATATCCTTTATGTTTCAGAGGTATTTCTCATTTATTCTTATTTCCAAAAATATGACACTGTCCACTCACAATCCCAGATAAACTAGTAAAATTACTCCCCATGACTCAGGGCTAAATAATTTTTCCCCTATTCCTCAGAATGCTGCTGTAACATACTTATTAAAAATAATGAAAAGAAAAGGCTGGCGTATATTGTACACAATATTGTGTGCTAATAGCAATTTAAGAAGATACTATTTATAAAATATCAAGCTTTTAAAACATGAATGTTCTATAATTTTGGAAACAGTAGCTCTAACAGCCAGACAGATTCCCCTTTTGATGCCGTTTTAACTGGACACTGCCTTTCCTCAGACTGTTACTCTATGGATCATGCAGTATAAATAGCTTCACTGACATACAGTCCTTCCCTCCCAAGGCAAACAGTTAATATCACTGACATATTATATCAAGCTTTGGTGCAGCCAAACATACAAGTGGGAAGTGAATCCCAGAGCCAACATTTTGACTAGAATAAGGAAGTTAAATTGTTATTTCAGTAGAGTCCTGGTCAGGGGTGGTATTCATTTGCTTTTCTTACCAGTTCGAAAATATGAGAGCATGTGCTCACTTCGCTCACACGCGTCCCAGCCACGCATGCGATTGGTCTTCCGCACATGCACTTTCATTGCTCACAGCTTGTATGTATGTGCACAGCTTGAAAACGTGCCTAAATAGGATTGCACAGAGCTGGGGCGAGTGGGCAGGAAATCGAAACCCTCGATTTCCACTACTGGTTAGGGCGAACTGGTCCAAACTGACTGAATACCACCACTGATCCTAGTGAACTACCTTGCATGGATCTACATGATAAATTTTGTCTGTTTTCAGTTATACATCATAGATTGCCGAATTTTGATACTGGAAGAGAGTCTCTTACATTTTATATTAGCTAGAATTGCAGATGGCTTGGCTGATTTATTGGAACAGATATTTTGTTCATATTCTAAGGATTGGTGCAGAAATACTATAAATTATGAGTCATACATGATACAATTCTATGACTGATTTAGAAGACTAGAAATGCAAAGGGGCCAAGCAATACATTATATTTGACACCTTTCACCATGGAAAATTTTCATTTGCTATGAATCAGAGAACAAAAAAAGGACAGTGATACAGGAAAAAAGTGATTAACTGATTCTCCCTGCTGACAAATATTTACTCTCTTACATTGTTAAAGGTATATAGAGAAGGTTGCCCACTATCAAATTGTATTTTCTGAAGCCAATGACTGAACTTTTAAAAATAGTTTTAAATAATATTGCTTTTATTACTTCTAAAAAAGAAGAATCAAACTAAATTGAATTTATAGACCTCTTATCGCCTTAATGGGGGGGGGGCAAAGTTTAGGAATCTTCTGACCCAGAATATTCTTACTTAATTTAAAGCATAGATATATAAACATTAAGAAGGTTATGTTATGCTCTCAACCATGTTCTGGCAGAAGGACTAAACATCCACCTTTTTGTTTACATCAAATTGTCTTACTGGATCTGCTGATATCCTCCGGTTCTTGTTGAGAGCAGCATTCTTCCATCCACCACATCTGGAGACATAAGTCCTGGGAGGGACTTGAGGAGGCATGGTTTTGCTGCGAGCAACTGGCTTCCCACTGCTTTCTTTCTCAAAAATGCTTCTGCCCTCCTTCCAACTCCAAGTGGCTTCTCTCAGAAGTTCAGTATCATAAGTGGACTTGAGGTTGAGTCGAGTGATAGCGTCATTGATGCCATCATAGTCTACTGTGCTATATTGGTCTTCTTCTGAGATTCTTCGACCTAGCAATTTTCCATCAGCTCTCTCGTGAGATGAGGAGAACATGTTGATATTATTGGGTTGGGGTCCCTTGAGGGAAGCTTGATTTGCTTCAGAAGTATTCCAGATGGTAATGCGAGGTGGCAGTGGGGGAGGAGAAAGCTTCTTGGGTGACTTACCACCATTGCTGTGCTGGCAGGGTGCACTATTGAGCGGATCATTTAGGAAGTCTCCCTCTGTGCTATCAAAGATGTACAAATAGTCACTAGACAGAGGATTCTTCAACCAAGGTTGACTTTCTGCTTCAGGCACCAATCTGGATGAGGTAGTATTGTTGGTCCCCAAAGCTCTTGAAACTTCTTGGCCAGAGAGTGCATTATAGTTGAGGGTTGAATCTGAGCCAGAGAGGCCTCTCATGACCTTAATATTATGGCAGTCATTCCTTACAGCAGGTATGTTGTAATCCAGAATGGGATCATCCCAAGAAATTAGAGGTTGATCGGTGTTCTGCTTTGCCTGGTTCTCCTCCTTGTCTTGCCTCAGGCGGGACAAGGCATCATACTCCATCTGCAAGGCTTCTGCAAGAGCCAGCTCCTTACGGCTAATCCCCACAGACTCCAAAGATTGCCAGTGCTCTCCATTTCCTCTGGTTGCAGACATCTCTTGGAAAACAAATGCTGAAACCAGTAACTACTGGATGTTCAATTCAGGTTTTCGGAACCAAGGCATGCTGTGCCACCAGCCACCTACAAGTGAAGAGACCAAAAGAACATGGCAATAAGAGTAAGTTTCAGTAATATCTGTCTGCTTTACTGAAAGATTTTCATGTGTTTGATCAGCACTTGAGAAAACAGTCTGTTATGGCTACACAATCACCATCACCTCAGCTGAAAACTTAAACACTCAACAAATATTTACCCTGTTAGGAAACCAATCCTGAAATGTTATGTTCATGTTCAATAATTCATCAAGTAATTCAGGTTTACAGGTTTTTCCTGCAAAAAATGATAAGGTGATCCCGAGATAAAGTAGACATTTAGGTGCTTACTATCAAGACAAATTAGACTGAAAATTCACATTAAATGATCAACACTGTCTTCCATAGAAGACAAGAAAAGGACCCATTAAAAATACTTTAGCAGGACATAACAGCAGTGGCACCATCTCGTTATATTTCCAGAGTTCATAGATATACCTTTTCTGATATGGTGCACAATAATATTTAGCATAACATATACTTTAATCTCTATGAATTGGTCTAATCTTCTCTTAAAAGCTTTTCAAGTTGCTATCATAATCTTGAGAAACTGAATTCCATAATTTAACTTTATGCTGTTTGAATAAATACTGCATGCCTGAAACCATCAATCGCCAATTCATTTTTCCCATTTTTACCAAAATGTCCATATAAATTTTCCAGTTTTTAATGAAAGTACTTATTGCTTTATTCCTGATCAAAAAGGTTAGTTGTGGCATTTCTGCAGATTCCATCATTTTCACAATCTACTCCACTGGGTATTTCAATGACTTTCGGTTTTGATACCATGTTTCTCCAAAAAGATGAGCCACCTTGAAAAGAAGCCCTATCACGTATTTGAATGCATGTGATCAAATTAAGCCCCACCTACAAAATTAGTCCTAATTAAGGGGGTGGGGCAAGGCACACAGGTAAATAATAAGCTAGAGTAAGAATCAGGGGTGGAGCTGCCCTACTTACCAGGCCTTGAACACCCCGACACTTGCTTCGCCTTCTTCTGCGGCCACTTGCCACAACTCGCACAGATCACCCAGGCCTCTGATTTGCCTTCAGATGTCTTCCACCACTCACACAATGTGTGTGAGTGGTGGCAAGCAACAGCAGAAGAGGTGGTCCAGGAGCAACCTTCTGCTAGGCAGGGCTGTTGGGGTCACTACTGCGAGGTGAGTAAATAATTAGAACTTTCCAAAAAAGAAGGCCTAGCAATTTTTTAGGGGGGGGGTGTTTCCAAAAGAAAATAAGACCCAGCCTTCTTTTTGCAGAAACTCAGTATATACAATAGTCTCACTGCAATTTCCATATACAAAACCAACATCCCCTAAGTCTTTCTAATTGACTATTCATAAATCCAATTAAAACAATTGTTTTAATCTGAATATTGAGCTTTAAAATTATTTGCCTCATGTGTGTTTGTATCCATTTTTTAAAAAAAAATTGTATGTCCACTTTGCACGGTAATGTCTCTTCATATTTTTACAGATTTTCAAGCATCTTTAAATATTTTAAATAATTTCTATGGTACCAATGATACATCATTTTATAAAAGTTCTCTCTTTTAACAGAATGTGAATTTCAGTCCTCTAACATTGATCCATTAATTGTGGCCCATTTTACCATGTACTTTTTGACCTGTTCTTCCATTTCAAACCTCAACAGAGGTTTATGCATTTTAGTAATCATATGTTCATCATTTGTACATAATAATTCAATTTCAAATTCTGTCATGTTGTTCAATTCTACTCATTTTTATCAGTATTAAATTTTACAATAATTTCAAGGAATAGAAAATTATACAGTATAAAAATGGAATAAAATTCCCTTTGAAAACTTCAGATCTGCTGTGAGGACTAGCAAAAGCATGTAGTCTCAGTCAGTATGCTGAAGCCTCAATTCTAGACATATTCTAAGCATGCATAAAGGAAGTATGAAACACCCTTATTTGTAGTTGATATAGCAGTAGTGTAATGGTTGCAATCAGAAGAACAGGGTACAAATTATCAGACCATGGAGCAGTTTCTCTTTTTGTTTTCTGTGCTCACACACACTGTTGTGAATATAAGGAAGTGGGGAACAGGTGTGCAGTTTCAACTTTTTTTGCTGGGGATTAGATAAACTGTAATAAATAGCAAATAAATAGGCACATCTGGAAATGTGTGTGTTGCTCAATTTATAGTAATGGAAAATGAGATGAAGTTATTAAAGCATGTGTTAAAAACCCTTTATGGGAAGCCTGGCAAGGATTTAAAGTACTGGTTTGTTTTGCAGGTGTTACTGTAAGTGTAAACTCCTTAGCCTTGTCAAGATATTCCATCTATCTATGCTCTAGGCACTTAATTAATAATCATACTTGCTGTGATTAACAGAAAAGGAGAAAGCCATTTAACATTCTGTTAACACTATTCTTAGGCAGTAACACAACAACATATTAACACCTCATGAATTAGAGGCAAAATATACCAGCAGGGGAAATGACAGCAACAAATGCTAAAACATGTACAACCTATAGCAAAGCCAGAGAGAAAGAAGAAATGCTCCATTGTTCAATACAGATAATATATTTTAGATTCCACCCTTGGCATTTTCAGTTGAATCAATCAGCTATCATTCTATCCAAAATATTGCATAATTGCAACATAAAAACAGCTAAAGATACTCAAAAATAAACCACTGTTAATAATAAAAACTAAAAAGTAAGATTATTATGAATGATTACAAAGGTCCATGGTAGTCCACATACAGTTAAAGATCAAAAAGCGTAATAGAATAAATATATATTTGCTAGCAGTGAAATGGCCATAAAATAGACATATAGAGACAGTTTGGTCTAATGGTTAAGGCATCAAGCTAGAGACTGAAGTTCTAGTCCTGCCTGAAGCACAAAAACTGAATGGGTGACTTTGGGTTTGTCAGCCCAACTCACATTTCACAGGACTATTGGTGTAAGGAAAATAAGAAGAGGAACAAACATGTTTACCACCTTCGGTTATTTACAAAAATAACAAAGATAGTATAAAAATAAATAGGGTCCATTCCTGAGTGACCACATTAGGCTGGAAGGATAAATGGAGCAGGGCCCCTGTTTATGATTTTAGATTGGAGAAAGCAATTTACCGTAAATGGTTTTTCTTTCAAAAAAACTGTCATTCTAAGCTTGTGGTGGGCAATCTGTGGCCCCAGGACAGTGGAAAGATCTGAGTCTCTTTCTGGGACCCCTATAGCTCATTCGTAGGGTGCTCTACAATAGAACAATAAGAAAATAGCTGCAGTTTGGTTTCATTGAACCTATAGGTTCCATAACTGCATTTGTAATATTTTTTCAAATCTGTGGCTTTATACCACACAAAAAAATTAAAACTTTTTTATTCAAATATGGCTGCCCATCTTACACCTAGAACTCTTGGTGACATAAAAAAGTTAAAACCAAAAGTTTGGAGAATAACCCCTAACACACAAAGCAAATTAGGGATCCTTGCTGCTTTCTGAACTTGGCTGATTCTTGCAGATGTTTTAGAGAGCAGTAATGCAGTAGTGTTAATAAGGAATGGAATTTGTCAGAAGGAAAAATAGCAATCATCCATAATAAATTGTATAAAGACTACAACAGCCACTGTGTTAGACAAGCCAGTGACATGTGGTGAGGTTTATGGCTGGTAGGGCAAAAAGAAAGAAAACAGCTTTTGCCCGCCTTGCAGCTATGTCCGGGGCGGGCAAAAGCCGAAAGAAAGCGGCTGCCGCTTCTGTCCTGTGGGGCGGACAAAAGCCAAAAGAAAGCGCCCCACCACTTCTGTCTGACATAGAGGCGCCCCACACCCCGCAGCTATGTCTGACCCAGCTGCGGGGCGCGGGACGCCTCTATGTCAGACAGAAGTGGTAGGGCGCTTTCTTTTGGCTTTTGCCCTGCGAGGGGGGAAAAACCCAAAAGAAAGCGCCCC